ACCAAGAGGCATTTTCACGTATCAGTCATAGAAGGCCTTTCTTTGCAGAATCTAGTCTCATCTCTACAGAAGTTAAAACTAACTTCTAAAGACTATTAAAAAAAAAACAAAACAGAGAGTTGTGGTGGTAGCTCAAATGGTAACATGCTGCTATGCAAGCCTGATGACCTGAGTTCAAAATCTGTGACCTACATTAAAAGTTAGGCATGACAACACACTTGTCAGCCCTAGTGCCTGAGAGGCAGATATGCAGATCCCCTGGCCTGGCTACTCAGCCAACCTTGTGAGTTGCAGGTCAGTCCAAGTAACTGTCTTAACAAAAGAGGAAGGTTAACAGTCCCTAAGGAACAGCACCTGAGCCTGACTATGTTGCACGTGCTTGCACGCATGCACACACGCACGCACGCACGCACACACGCGCGTACACACACACACACACACACACACACACACACACACACGAATACATGTAAATGATACAAAAATTATCTTGGTAAAGCAATTTGATGCCATGTTCAATTATCAGCCTCCCATGGAGGACTCCCACGTTTATTTGATGGAATCTGGAGCTGATTTAAGAGAAAAAGAAAAATCTGGAAGCTGCTGTCATGCAGGGAGGAAGGACCTTGGAGTTTGGGTGCTCATTTAGCTCCCTCAAGCCTCGTGGGAGGTGAATTCAGTTTTTCGCCATTTATCAGGAGTGCTGTTCCCAGGAGTCATCTTGCCCATGAGGTGCAGAGGAGATTTCTGTTCTGACAGGAAGGGCCTTGAAGTTTGGTTCTCCAGAGGAAGAAATGAAACAGTGGCACACAGGCTCTTTGGGGTGGAGAATGATAGCACAAAGGCAAAGTTGTGATTGGCAGGCCCTACCTACATTCCTCAGAGGTAGGGATTGCAGACCTTCCCCAGAAGGGCCTTTGGCCAAATGGACGCCAAAAAAGTCATGCCCCATGGCCTTGTCCTGGTCTGGATGTCTCTGCTCTTCCTAGTCATTCTCAGAACTGTGCAGAAACAAATGAAGGGCTAAAAATGGCTTCAATCTGCCAGTTCCTGCCCTACATGATGTGGAAAACACAAAATGTGTTTCAGTGAGTCTGAATGGCCGGTTCAGCGAAGGCACAAATCTTGTCCCCAGCGGGTCTTTCATCAGAGTTCCTCTCTGAGCTCCCAGAGTGAGGACGGGAGGGAGGCACTTATGCTACTTGCTACAAGCATTAAAATGCTCCTCTCTCCATCCAGACATAGGAACATCTTTTGTATAAAACACTAGAAAACAACATTTGATGCATCAAGGCAGATGCGGTTGCTTTTTGTTAAGGATTTTGAATTTTGAGCAATCAGTATCCATTTTTGGAATAGGTGCATGAAATTGTAAGAGGCTCTTAGAGTTAATGATTAGAATAAAGATGGTTGTTCTGCCAGAAGGCAGAGAGCTGTGACTTCTGGCAGGTTCTTACCCCAGTGTCACTAATCTGGGGTGTGTCTGTAGATCTGAGCCATTGATGTGGCTGAGGTCGGTGTTCTTTGTAAAGAGCAAAACCAGCTGAGGACTGAGAGGATAATAATGATGGCAGGCATGGTATTAGCCTCCCGGCAACCTGACCTACATTGGGAAGAAATGCCAGGTGAGCTATTAGATCCATTTTCTGGATCCACAGTCCTGTTTGCTTTGTACCTAAAGATTCTGCTATGAAAAGTAGATGAAAGGAGCAGTTGGGCAGCCACTGGCATGCCTTGTAGGTGGGAAGAAATGCCAGGTGAGCTATTAGATCCATTTTCTGGATCCACAGTTCTCTTTGCTTTGTACCTAAAGATTCTGCTATGAAAAGTAGAGAAAGGAGCAGTTGGGCAGCCACTGGCATGCCTTGTAGAAGCTTATGCATGTGGTCACTCAATAAGCGTGGGTTTCTAACCTTTAGAGACTTCATTGTGTTTGAAACGCACACTGCCCAAAATGTCAGATACTTTGTAGTTAACCCAAAATGACAAGTCATCCAATCAAACCCCTTGGAAACAGTAAAACTATCATAATATCACAAATTTTGCTCTTCTGATGTCCAGCAGACCCGGGGGACAAATTGCTAGACCAAATTCCAGCTTCAACACTTCAGTTTGCCTGCCCTTTCTGTGCCTTGGTTTCCCAATCTGTTTGTTTTAGACGATAACAGCACTTACAGTGTTATTTGCATATTAAAGTAGTCAACACAAATAGGCTGCCTAGAGTAACATCCTGTAGGGACTGGGGATGTAGCCCAGATAACAGAGAGCTCGCCTAGCATGTTTGAAGCTTGGTGTTGGGTCTGAAGCACCACATATGGCAGGTGTCTGTGGCTTATGCCAGCAATCCAGCCCTGAGAGATGGAGGCAGGAGAACGGGTAGTTCAAGATCATCCTCAGCTATGTAGTGAGCTGGAGGTGCTTGAACTATAGGAAAGCACAGAGAAATCAATAAATCGATGCCTTGCATATCGAAAGCGTTCTCTATTTTATACCGTTGGTGTTCTGGTTACTTCAAAGTCATTGCTATCAAGAGTTCCACGTAGAATGTAAAACCAGCATTGTAATAATTATGTGCAGCGTTCAGACTTCATACCTGGCAAGTATCAGGGCAGGAGAACCAAGCCCAGCTGATATACCGGAGTTGCCACTGCCAGTGACAGCTCCACTTCTCCCCAGCGTCATGACTCATGTGGTGAGACTGTGCCGCAAGTACGAGTCTGAGTCTCGTTATTTCCACTTAACGTATACATTTTTTCCAAAGTACAAAAATTATTTATAAACCTGATTTCAGCGGCCGCATAATGAAATCACACCCGTCGTCATCCATAACCAGGAGGCATGCTCTCGATGTCGAGTGCATAGGCTGTTCTTTCCTTCTCGGTGAGGGGCACAGTGGCTCTCGTCTGCAGATGAGGAGCCTCGTGGGTGGGGCCATTTCTGTATAGTTTTATCACTGTCTCCTCCTCCCTAGCTTGAACTCCCAGGACTGAAGCCACTGGGTCAAAATGATGAAAGCTTTTAAGGCTCTTTATAAAAAAGAAAAGAAACTTTTAAGTCAAGCTAAAAATGTTACAGGCTGGTGGTAATCAGTTGCTACGTCTTCTCCCTGCCACTGTCCTGCTATTGCTGAATCCAAATGGAAAAAGAAGCAGAGATCAGAGTGAGTTTCTCGGTGCTCAGCAAAATTCAAAGAAATGGGAAAGCATACTTCTGGTTAGAAAATTGAGAGCCCATGTCTCCATTTAGAGACAATTTTCCTTTGGAAATGTTTTCTTTTTCCTTTTAGAAGCCGTAAATTCCTTTCAGATTCTTCTGGGTTGTAGTGTTGTCTATTTCACGGTGCTCACAGTTCCTATAAATCTGTGGTGTTTGGCAGAGACCTCTATTCAGCTTTCTGACGCCCTATCAAGAGTTAGAAGAGGGGTGTGAATTCTTGCCCGGTTAGTTCCCACAATGCACCTCAGCCAAAGTAATATGCACTTTACTCAAATGAAACAGGGTCTCAGTTGACTTGCTCAGATGAAACACTTGAATGAAATTTCTAAACTGTGGGTGGACTCATAACCATCCTCACTGTGAGCTCTGTTAACTTCCTCTGTACTGGAGCGAGCCGAGTACTGCTAGTACATTGGCTTGTAATCTTCACAGTCAACGAGTCAGCATTGTTCCTTAGGTGGAGAGAGACAACTCTTTTCCTTCTTGGTTTCCAGAAACTGTGTGCCTGTTCATGTCCACATGTTTACTGAAAGGAAAAGTATGGGTTCCGGACCCCCAAGACCAAGTTCTCAGCACAAAGGAGGTGTATTTGCCCCAGAGGGACAGAGGGCAGGGATAAGGGACAAAGACAGGAGATAGAGGAAAATTAGAAGGGAAGAAGGGGAAGGGGTGGGGTAATTGTCCTGGAGGACAAAGGTCAGCCTCTGGATAGAGAGGAGACAGACGTGGTACATAGGCAAATGGAAGTTTATAAAGGTACAAGGGGAAACCTGGGTTAAGATGAGGTATTTAACTTTAGTTGGGCATGTTAATTAGGTGAGCCAAAGGGGACTTTCGATTACTGGACCTTGGTAGTCAGCCTCAGGAGGAGGGATTGGTCAAATAAGGGAATGGGCCTTGGGGGTTAGCTATGGGACTGTAATCTAGTGGTTTAGCAAGGCAGAGGGAGTTGGGGAGAAGGGCGGGGCCTGCCAGAGCCACACCTTGAGTGGGCTAGAGTCCCTGCATTCACTATTCACAGAAAGTCAGGTCTGCCCTTCTTGACACACCATTAGGACAACCCTCAACTTTTCTTCCCAAATATAATTGTGTATGTCTGTATTTGGATCTCTACAGCTCACAGGTAACAGCTCTTCCTAGAGTCCATCTCACCTTCTCCTTCCAAAGCTTGTTCCCCAGCTTTCCCTAACCATGAGAGGCAGGCATCCTTGGTGCAGCCATTTTGGCTTTTTGTCTGAGGTTCTTGAGAAATGCAAGCAAACTTTCTCCAGACTGTTTCAATTAGACACATAAAGGTAGGGGTAGCATTTTCCAGAGGGAGTCAACACCCTGGCCTCTTTGTAACTAGTACAATAACAGATTGATGAGCAAAGCAGCAAACTTTCTCCAGACTGTTTCAATTAGACACATAAAGGTAGGGGTAGCGTTTTCCAGAGGGAGTCAACACCCTGGCCTCTTTGTAACTAGCACAATAACAGATTGATGAGCAAAGCGTATCATGGAAAAGTTTGGAAAGCAAGATCGTTTTGAAGTTCACTGCACATTTTTCTTGTGTGATCAGATCAGAAACAAAAATGAAAAGAGAACCAAAGCCAGATCCACACCGAGGCCAACAGGTGGCTTGTACCACACTGTCCTGGCTGTGGTATCAATATGGACCCCTCCAACCTGCTTGGCCTAGACCACCACATGGCTGGCTGCCCAGCCGTGTTACCATCGTAGGCAAATGGAGTGCACATGGGTAGTACACATCTCTAAGCAGTGTCTTCTCTCTCCTCTGCCAGCTACACGGTGGGCACCGTACAGGAGAACAATGATCAGGTCTGGAAGTTCCAGCGGTACTTCCTGGTGCAGGAGTACTGCAACCGCCTCAACATTCCCTTCCCCTTCGTCGTCTTCGCATACTTTTACATGGTGGTGAAGAAATGTTTCAAATGCTGCTGTAAAGAGAAGAACATGGAGTCGTCTGCCTGCTGTGAGTGGGTTACCTGTGGGGGATCAGGTTCCAGAGTGGTGGTTCATTTCAGGGGGCGTGTGATCTGAGTCACTACAATCAGCTCATTGTATGTCTCTGAAGATCAGGTGTTTCTTCTTCTGCTTCTTCTTCTTCTTCTTCTTCTTCTTCTTCTTCTTCTTCTTCTTCTTCTTCTTCTTCTTCTTCTTCTTCTTCCTCTTCTTCCCTCTCTCTCTCTCTCTCTCTCCTCCTACTACTTCTGTAAAGTTACTTTTTTTTAAAAAAAGATTTTATTTACTTATTACGGATACAACATTCTGCTCCATGTGTATCTGCACACCAGAAGAGGGCACCAGATCCCATTCAAGGTGGTTGTGAGCCACCATGTGGTTGCTGGGAATTGAACTCAGGACCTATGGAATAGCCATCTGTGCTTTTAACCTCTGAGCCATCTCTCCAGCCCCTGTGAAGTTACTTTTTTTTTGGAAGGTTTAGCCAGACTTTCAACAGGGTGAATGACTTTTTGGGGTGCTTGTGTTAGTCAGCTTTCTATCACTATAATGAAACACCTCAGATAATAACTAGCTTATAAAGAACAAAGGTTCACTTGGCTCGGTGCTAGAGATTCCAGTTCAAGACTGGGTGGCTCCATTGCTTTGAACCTGGCAGAGAATGTTTGACAGAGCAGATTAGTTATATCATCTGCCAGGTAGCAGGTTACTCAGAAATGGATCTCAATATCACCTTTAAGAGCTCTCTGGGCCCTTCCTCTTGAAGGTGTCACCACCCCCCCCATAGTGCCATCTTGGAGGGCAATCCTTTAGCACATGGGACTTTGGGGGGAAACTCACTCAACCAGTGTCATTCTACTTCTGGTTCCCAAATCTTCATGTCTGTCTCACAATACAAAACAAATTTTTTCATTCTTATGGTCCCTGAAGTCTTAGCTATTATTCCAGTATTGTTCAAACATCTAAACTCAATGTCTCATTTAAGATCCATGAAAACTCAGGCCTTTAAGAGCTCTCTGGGCCCTTCCTCTTGAAGGTGTCACCACCCCCCCCATAGTGCCATCTTGGAGGGCAATCCTTTAGCACATGGGACTTTGGGGGGAAACTCACTCAACCAGTGTCATTCTACTTCTGGTTCCCAAATCTTCATGTCTGTCTCACAATACAAAACAAATTTTTTCATTCTTATGGTCCCTGAAGTCTTAGCTATTATTCCAGTATTGTTCAAACATCTAAACTCAATGTCTCATTTAAGATCCATGAAAACTCAGGTGTGAGCCTTTGCAAGTATCTAAGTTGCATACATCTAAGGTCCAGTGATGGGGCAGACAGATTTATATTTCTACCCCAGGAAGGAAGGATAAGCAATAGGAAGGAGACAGCATCTCAAGGCAGATGAAAACCCAGAAGGGCTAATGTCGAATTCTAAAGGTCCATGCCTGGTATCTGGGGAACAATGAAGCAGAGCGTGACCTCCCAAAGGACTGCCCTGCCCCTGTCATTTCACTGGTTGCAGTCCACAGTGCAACTCTCCAGAGGAGGTTTTGTTTGCTGCCTGTTGCCTACAGCACACTGTTGGCACCTCTGTATTCCCGGGTCTCCATTACAGCACCACTCTCATGGCTTCATGCCATTCTGGTGCCTGTCCTTTGATAATGGTCAACTGTGCGTGGTGTTCCAGTCATTTGCCCCATGGTATGTGGTGAAATGGACATGAACTTCCACTACCAGATTTACATATCACTTTGGGCTGACCACTTCTCTTTGATGGAATCCCAAATATTATGATTCTGAAGGTAAAAATATCACTTTCCTAGATATGGTAAGTGGTGGCAATTATGACACCTTTTAAGTGCAAAGAACCATCATTTTTGTGGGACCCTTCACATTGAACTGGAGGCAAGATACTCATGACTGACCTTCAGTCCCATCCCAAGACCTGGCCTATATCCTGGCTTTCAGAATATAAACGCACCCCCAGTTTTCAATCAGGCTGCATCAGGAGGAATCTCCGTACTCTAATGGTGTCATCCCAAGACATTAAATGACGCTTTGGGAGTGTCATTAACCACTACACATGTGTAATTGTCTTTCTTGATGAAAGTATTTTGACAATTTGGATAAGTGGCTGTCTTTCTCCCCATTGTTTTGCCTTGGCTAACAAACTGAGCCATTACTAACTAAAACAGTGGAAGTCTTCAGATTCAGGATGGAAACTGCAAGTGCGGATGTAGAATCGGAATGGACTCAAGAACCACATCCAAACGTCAGAGGCTTTTGGTGACATGGCTGGGTCTAGATTTGCTTCCTTCTTGAGATCATGTGTATGAGAGCGTCTCCAGGATCTTGGAGAAGACTCAGGCGCACAATCACACATGTAAAAGGCCAGACACGGCGGTACATGCCTGGAATGCCATTGCTGGAGGCAGAGACAGGAGGATCCCTATAGGTTGCTTGCCCCCTATAACCAATCAGGGGGCCCCAGGTTCACTGGGGGGCACTGTCTCAAAGAAAAAAGGTGGATGGTGGTTGAGGAAAACACCTAATGCTTACCCTTTGATCTCTACACACATGTATATACTTATGTATTACACAGATACACAGGCTATGTACACATAGCTCACATGTGAACACGTACTCATACATGCACACATGTATCTGTTACAATGAGGATTGTTTTAACTCAGTGTAAAGAACAAAATCAGAGTTTAATATTCAGTATTTTCTGGAAATGGAATGGATGTTCTAGAGAACTGTCCATCACACTGATTCGGGTTGGGCATGGACTGATGGGGACTGGGTGGAGTACTGGTCCATTCTCCGAGGCTCTGACACACTCAGCCTGGGATCAGCAGAACCAGGGAACTCGGTGTCAGGAAGGCAGATCAGCTCCTGGCTTCAGGGCCGGCTTAAGGAGAAGGACAAAAGCATCACATCGAGGCAAGGTAAGAACATCAACTGGAAACAGAGCCCCCTTGTCTAGCCAGCCAATAGGAAGGAGTTTCAGCTTAAGGAAGCAAACATGTGTGTCAGAAATGTCCGTTCTTTATTCATCTCCCCAGGGAGACACTGGGAGAGAGATGCTCTATGGACAGTTGGAAGAAGCAATGGTACCTGCCCTCTTCCAACAGATCTTACTCTCAGGAGGAGATAAAGAAACAGAAATACAGGCCCACTCTCCCCAATGGTGGTGGTGATGGGCCCAGTTCCCTCAACAGAGGCTCTCTAGCCAGCAGAGTCACTCCGTGCTCACTAGAATTAGTCACCAGAAAACACAGCACTCTCTTTGCCTTTCCCAGGGACTCCAGCTGGCATCTCATTCCATAAGCACATTTTGTGTTTGCTAGTCACTCCGTGCTCACTAGAATTAGTCACCAGAAAACACAGCACTCTCTCTGCCTTTCCCAGGGACTCCAGCTGGCATCTCATTCCATAAGCGCATTTTGTGTTTGCCTCCAAATGATGGGGATGCCATTAATTTTGAAATTGCCCTTCTTTGGAGGAAAAACTACAAGATTTTTTTTTCAAATAATGTTCAGAAAGACAAGCTTCAAACTTTCTTTCTTTCTTCCTTTCTTTCTTTTTCTTGATTGTTTGGCAATATCATCAAGTCAGAAAAAATGCTACTTGGTAATTGCATTTTTAGAAAATATATTGTTTCTTTTCTGTTTTGGAAGGCAACATATACTCTTTATAGAACATTTGAAAAATACAGAAAAGCACAAGTAAGGATTGAGGGTAGATATGACCATCGTTCAGAGATAAATGCCAACAGCTGTCATTGATTTCTGTGGGAATGTAAATTTCCTGGAGTGTAGTATGCATATACATTCATAGAATAATTGGTTCATTTATTTAGCTGATAATACACTGCAAACATGTTTAATTCTATAAACAAATAATGCCTATGCTAAGAATTTCAACTATGAAATATTCTAGTGTATGGATGTAGTGTAGTTAACTTAATCAAGCCCTTCCTGTTAAATGTGCAGTGTAATTATGTGTTGTGTGTGTCTCCATGTGAGTGTGTGGATATAATCCCAGGTGCCTGCAGAAGACAAGGCACTTGATCCTCCTGGATCTGGAGTGATACGTGGTTGTGAGCTGCCCAACATAGGTACTTGGAACTGAATTCAGATCCTCTGGGAAAGCAGCTAACATTCATAACCACCTAACCATCTCTCTAGCCCTGGTTTTATTCTTAGTAACATATGATGTCATGATAAAAAGTGATATATGTGTATTTTGAGCACATAATCATTTTAATGTTAATTCTAGGAGAGAAATGTCCAGATAAAGAATACATATTATCTCTAGTTCATTGGGTAATGTCTCCCACAGTCTTCTCACCCTCTATTAAGTTGTAACCATGGATGGACTTTTCCCATAAGATGAGTAGGCACAAATATGTACTTTAGAGCCTGCTAATTTTTCAGTATAGTTGGTGAAAATGCTAGGCCCCCATTTCAGCTAGCTTCTCCCTGGCTGTTAAGGAAGCAGGCCATTTTACTTGGCTGTTTGTCATTCTTGTTCTGACTGCCTGTGTCTAGAAGTTTCAATCTTGTATTGTTGAGTTCTAAAATTTAGTTTGAAGGAAAGACATTGGAAACTACTCCAAAATACGCTGGAAAGGAAATTGGTTGGGAACTGTTTTGAAAAGTAATAACGGCCATTTAAAGATAAAGAGATGTTTGCTGTATGGAATTTTCTCAAATCCAGTCACCCGCATATTACTTTGATACCCAATTAATTTTTCTCAATTCAGTAAGGCATTAAAGTTTATGAACTCCAACATGAGACTATACACATTTAAATGATAAGTTAAGGGTAAAATCTACACAAATTACTGGACATGGTGGCACACACCTTTAAACCCAGTACTTGGGAGGCAGAGGCAGAGGCAGAGGCAGGCTGATCTCAGTGAGTTTAAGACCAGCCTGGTGTACAAAGTGAATTCCAGGACAGCCAAGGCAGTTACAGAGAAATCCTGTCTTGAAGAAAGGAAGAAAGGAAGGAAGGAAGGAAGGAAGGAAGGAAGGAAGGAAGGAAGGAAGAGAACCCCCTCCAAAAAAAAACTAACCAACCAAACAAACAAACCACAAGTCTATTCCAAGTGGCCACCTACACAAACATCTCTTTCTTGTTCCCATGAATTTCTGGAGTTTGGTGTCCATTGCAAACATTAAAGACCTTGATGCTGGGGTTTTTTTTTTGTTTTTTGTTTGGTGTCCATTGCAAACATTAAAGACCTTGATGCTGGGGTTTTTTTTTGTTTTGTTTTGTTTTTTTTTTGTTTTTGCCTCCATCTGAAAGGCCCAGACACCATAAGAAATTGAAGTAAGAATCTCTGTGGAACAGATCACAGGCCAGTTTGTACAGTTCACCCTGGCTTAGAAGAAAGGGGAAGACTAGAGTAAGGGTTTCTTCATGATCCCCTCCCAGGCCACCTGTTTCAGAGTAAAAGCAATGTCATCAGGTTACCCTTCTCTAAAGACCTCCTGGTTTTAGATTGAAAGTCAGAATGCCTGTAGTTAGTATCCAACTAAATGGCTTAGCATTTCCATGTCATCCAACAGTAGTAGGACTTAAGGAAACGTGGGCACCCAAATCATTAGTGATCTAAGTCTCAAAAGACACAGACAAGGTTCAAATGGATATCTACTTAGAATAAAGATTGCATTCTCAGGCCACACAGCAGTTCCCACCCTCATTCTTACTGAGAAATCCATTGATATCCCATCACTCTGCTCCTGTCAGTAGTCAGATCTGCTGGTGCAGACGAATTTAGTTGCCTTAGTTCCAGAGTCTCTCTTTCTGGCATACATTGGTTCCAGAAATGGAGAGAGACAGTCAACCTGAACGTTTTCCTTTTCTCATTATTTCAGGTTTCAGAAATGAGGACAATGAGACTTTGGCATGGGAGGGAGTCATGAAGGAGAATTACCTTGTCAAGATCAACACGAAAGCCAATGACAGCTCAGAGGAGTAAGTCAGTCATTCATTTCTGTGACAAGGCACCCTTGTATATGTAAACTGGAAGGACTAAGGCAGGTCTGAGCGTGCTCAGTAAGGCATGTTTTCATTGGAGAATGATAGTACCTCAACAATACTACCGAGGCAATTGTAGATGACAAACACTTAGACATATGGCACTCCCTCAACACAGGGAGAGATCACAACTCAGTTAATCTGATTGTTCCCCTAAAGAACATGGGATAGAAAGTCCTTGGAGGCTACACTTTCTCTTGGGACAGTGAGATGATCTGTGTTCAAGGTGCTGAGACCTTGAGTGTAGAAGGAAAGACATTTTGGTTGTTAGCCCAGCCTTTAACAGCTGAGCCAGGTGGTGGTGGCCCATGCCTTTAATCCTAGCACTCAGGAGGCAGAGGCAAGCAGATCTCTGAGTTCAAAACCAGCCTGGTCTACAGTGTGAGTTCCAAGACAGCCAGGGCTATACAGAGAAACTCGGTCTTAAACAAACAGAAGATGAGAAGGGAGAAGAAGGATAGCCATTAGCATCTGCAGAGCCAAGAAACAAGAGCCACAGCTGCAGAAGTGAGTTCCAAGAAGACTTAGAGGTCATTCTTGCAGGGGCCACTAGCACGTTTATCTCTGCAATGCTCAACTAGAGAGAGGCAGAAGGTGGCTTGTTATAAGCTATCTATCAAGTGCTGACTGTCATTTTTAAATTGTGTGTGGGCTTTTATAAATCTCTATGCATCCCCCCCATCACCAAATTTCTTGAAGAAGTAGGGACATCAGTCAAGTCTGCAGATGGTATATAAGTAGTGTATTACGAGTCTTTGAAAGCCTGCTCTTCCTATTGTGGAGGTTGACCTTCCTCAGTGACAGCTGTCACTTTTCCTAAGAGCTTAAACCACCTCAAAAATATCCTCTAACCAGTAGGTGTAAATATGAGTACAACTTATCTGTTTGTTAGAATCAACACAGCTACCAAGGCATACAGCAGGCTCTTTCTCCTGAGACAGCATGGATGCCTGTTTTCTAGACTCCCATATTTTGAATGTGGAGCAAGGTAGATCTTCTGAGTCAACTCTCACCACCCTGTCAGCAGACAGCATAACTTCTGTCTTTCTAACTGGGATGAGACAGGAAATCAAAGAGATGTGCAGCTGGCACTGGCCTGAGCCCAAACTGAAGACTATCATAATCTAACTTCTGTCCTTTGAGAGATGGAAACAGGGCCAAAGAGCCTCCCTCAGACACTTTGTCTTAGTTTATTTTCTAATCTCCTTTGCAGGATGAGGCATCGGTTTAGACAACTGGATACAAAGGTATGGCTCAGAGTTCTGGAATGATTTGTTTTATCTTTAATGTCTTTGAGTTTTCAGCTGTAGTCTGGTGCGTAGGGTCAGAAAACAAAAGAAGATATACATTGTTAAAAAATTAGATATGGTCCTGTTCAGCTGTCTGCTTGATTGCCTAGGATCTGGGGCCTGGAGCAGAATTACTTCTTAAACTCCCAGCCCTCATGTAGAATTGCCCAAAAGTGCCACTTCCTTTATATTTAACTGTCAATTTGACACAATCTGAAATCACCTTGGAAGAGGGTCTCAGTGAGTAGCTGTCTAGATCAGTTTGTCCTATGGGCATGTCAGTAAGGGACTGTCTTAATTACATTAATGGGTGAAGGAAGACCCAGTCCATTGTGGGTGGCACCATCCCCTGGGTTTGGGTCCTAGAGTGTATGAGAATAGCGTATAGTTTAGGTATGCATGTATTCATTTTCCTTGCTCTTACTGTGGATGTGATATGACTAGCTCCCTCAAGTTCCTGCCACTGTGAATATATTTAAGGTATTCAGTTGGACATTTTGATGCATGCATACATCACAAAATGATTACCAGTATTGGAAACCCTAGACACACAGTGCAGGCCCCTCCACATCCTATGAACTGTCTCACTGCCTCTACCTCCCTTTCTGTCACATTCTCTGCCCTCTTTTCTTCCCATTATGAAAAACCAAAATTCCTTGTTTTCCATTCATAGAATTTTGGAGATCATGTTCTGAATTTTGATTTCTAGAGCAAGAATTTAGCACATTTTCGCTTTCCCTTTAAATTGACTTTGTTTTTAAACAGCTCCATTGAGATATCATTGCCACAAATTCAACATATTTAAGGTATACAGTTAGACATTTTGATTCATGTATACATTGCAAAATTATCCCCACAACACAGTCCAGCTAATTTGCATACTTACATAATTGCTATCTGCACATGTCCTAGGATTCAACTTAAGATCTATTATCTCAGCACATCTCGTGCATATAGACATAGTAATGTCTAGGTCGATATTAACATATGAACACAGTATAATAGTAGTCATTCTCACTGCAGTGTACAGTAGATACATTGGTATTTCTCCCTTCCCTAACTCCTTTGACTATTTTAGACTGTACATGGGAGTGAGATCATGTGGGAGGGGATTGCCTGTCTGTGCCTTGCTTATTTTACTCAGCACAGTGTCATCTGGATTCTACCATCTGTGTTCCTGCAGATGGTAGAATTTCCTTCCTTTCTTCAAGGTGAATTGTTCTCCACTGTGCACACAAATCACATTTTCCTTACCCATCAATCTATTGATTGACACTTGGGTTATTTCTGTGTCTGTGACTAGTGCTGCAGTGAACAGGACAACATAGCTGCCTCATCCTCCTGACATCAGCTCTTTAGCTGGGTACCAGAAGTGGGGTTTCTGGGTTGTTTTTAATGTTTTGAGTAACTTCTGTATTGTTTTCCATAGCAAAATACCAATTTTACCAAATTCATCCCATTTTTTTTCCATGAAAGGTTTCTGGTGGAGTCCTTGTTACACAAGATATTATTTAAACACCCTTATGCAAACATAGCTAGATAGTTTTTCTTTCCTTTTCTTACCTGATCACATACATGGGTTAGGCCTCCCAATACCACTTAGAATACCAGTCTTGTCTTACGGTATTAGAGATGATGGGATGTTAAATGCGGTGATAGGAGTCTTTCTTCATAGTCTTTACTGTGTCTAAAACTCCTTATTTTCTTGAAAGAAAATCTGGAGTTTTCTGCTGGTTTTCCTGCATCCAGTGTGTGGATTATGCTGACTCCGTCCCCCATTTTGTCCATTTAGTTTGCCTCATCCATTTGTCTTCACATGATAAACCATCCTTTTGGTTTTTCAAGACAGGGTTTCTCTGTGTAGCCCTGGCTGTCCTGGAATTCTCTCTGTAGATCAGGCTGGCCTCAAATTCACAAGAGATCTGCCTGCCTCTCCCTTCCAAATGCTGGGATTAAAGGTGTGTGACACCACTACCTAGCATGCAGAATCATCCTCATTTCCCAGGGATAAATTGCACTTAGTTAGGGTGGCACTTAGTTAGGGTGTGTGGTATGTTCTTTTTAATGTGTCCTTGAATTGAGTTTCCTATTGTTTTATTGATGTTTTTGCATCTTCATTCACTGGGATGTTGGCCTATAGTTCTCTTTGCTGTCTTTGTAAGATTTTGGGAACAGGGTAATTTTGGCCTCATACAAGAAGCCTGGAACCAGTCCCTCTTCTGTTTTGTGGATGAGTCTAAACAGGACAAGAGTTTAAATGTTGGATGGTATTCGCTCATGAAGCCATCTCTCTGTTCCTGAGCTTTTCCTTGGGAACACTTTGACGCTGAGTCTTTCTCCTTGTTTGCTCCTAGTTTGTTTGAGCTTTGTCTTCTTTAAAAATAATTATTACATTTTAGTTGTGTGTGTGCACGCACATGTACACATGCCATACTGTAGGTGTGGAGGTCAGAGAACAACTCTTACAATCTGGTTCTCTCCTTCAACTGTGTACGCCTGGGCGATTGAACTTAGGTCACCAGGCTTACTGGCAGGTACCTGCTGAGCTATTTTGTAGACCCCCGGTTCTGTATTCTTGATTCAGTCTCATTAGGTAGTATATATTTAGAGAAGCCCCTGGCTAAGTAAGGTTCCAGTACCAGAGTGGCTAGCAACCTGCCCTAGTGGGAGGTGAAGAGCACTGGATGTAGGTGCTTAAAGTGTGTCTTTCGTGAGACACTTGTTTTATCTGGCATATGGCCTAATGACCTGTGACCAGCCTGTCCCTAGAGCAGGAGTTTTGTATGTGCTGACAGGTGCCTTTGTGGTTTTTGTCTAACTAGGTGTGGTTTGTACCTGTCTGGCCATCAGTATAGTTGCAGGAGACTGTTAGACTGTGTTCTCACCACATCTGGGGAAAATCCAGACCTGAGCAATACCTGGTTCTTTAAGTCAATGCACCACTACAACAGAAACAGCTTTTATTGCAGTCTAGCTAAAGGTTTGTTGGTTTTATCTTTTCATAAAACCAACTCTTAGTTTTGCTTATTTTTTCTATCTTTTGTGTTTCACCGTGCCACTTACTTTATCCTGAGAGTCTTCTGTTCTCCTTGAAGTGGTTTATTAATACCATTTCCCTTAGTAATAAAGTCCCCTGGTGGGGGGCGGTGAGCAAAACCCTTTTCCATCTCATTATAACCGAAACAGTAGCTTCTCACTGTGCAGGGTTCACTGAGGCAGCTGGCAGCCATCATGGTTTCTATTTGTTTTGTTTTGTTTTTTTTTTAAGGAAGAGGCTCTCACTGGAAACAGGCCCAACCTCAACATCTCTCCCTCCCCTCCCTAGTAAGTCACCTATCAAGCCAGGAGCCAACCACACAGGAATCAGAAGCTGTCCATACACTTTTATAAAGTGCATCGAGGTGGCACATAACTTAAAACAAGGTTGCAGATCTCATGTAATATGTAAAATAATCTTATGTATAAGTTATGTAAGTTACATTTTTGGAGTTTACTGTTTGTGTGTGTGTTAGGAGACACACAATCATATCTTACTATTATCGTTATATTTTTTGTTAATGTTATATTTTTACATAGCAAAACTTCATTTGTATCTTATTAGTAATTAATGCCTTATGTACATTTGTATACATTACTCCTGTGCCGTCATAATTTGTGGGATCTAGGAGGAAAGAAACCTTTTTGGCTTGCATTTCATGAAGCTGCTGTTGATTTGTTTGCTAACTGCTAATCATAAGTAAGCAATAAGCAGGGTCTGCCCCAAGTATTTACTGTTTAACATACTTGTCATTTAAAATGGAATGTTGGAAATTTGACTTAATACCGAATTCTTTTTCTCTCCCTTCCCAAGCTTAACGATCTCAAAGTTCTTCTGAAAGAGATCGCTAATAAAATCAAATAAGGTGGGTGAACGCTCATGGAAAGAAATCAACTTACAAGGTGAGTTGGCTATCATCTTTTTTTCTTTGTTCTGAAAATTTTGGTGTTTTAAGGATATTTTAAAATTGTGGTGGTTTCTTCATTTATTTTATTTTTATATGTTATCAGCTTTGACAATAAAGCATGACACAAATAGAAAAAACAAATAAGTCACAGTCTAGAGACAAAGGAATGGGAGTTCCTCAGCATGTCCCTCCCTGATGGTGGCTCTAGGGCAGTTAGCCTACAGAGTCTGTGTAACACTTGCCAACCTTTCAGCCATTTTCACATAGTGAAATGAGGTCATACTGACCTAATGGGTTTTTTCTTCCTTAATACTTCCTATTTTTTCTTTCTTAATACTTTATCATAGATACTTTTGTAGAAACATGTCTAAAATGTTCCTTATCCTCATGGTTTCTTATGTCTATTACTCTTGGGGAGGTAGATGTGTGCTGATCACCTTTTTGCTAACTGAAAAGATTCCAGTGAGGCAATGGGAGGGTTTTAACAACAGCTCATTTGTGCAATAACGTGAAATTCAATTAGCTGGCAAAATTGAACTCAAGGCGTAGCTCCAGCAACTTGCCATTTGTTTTAATCATGTTTTCCCAGAACCTGTCCAAATCCTGAGGCCAAATGTTGAAAATTTTAGGGGCATGGAGAGGAAGGGAGAGAGGAACACAATTATGCTGTTCCATTGGTCTACAAGGAAGCTGTAAGGAATAGAAACAGTGAAGAATTCCCTTCTAGGCAGAGTGTGGCAGAGGGTTAGGACTGTGGCGTGATGGCCGTTTGCACTGACTCTTCATGCAACCCTGTGCCCCTGTGCTGCCTTTCGCCCTAACCCTGACCTGCAGAAAGTACTTGGACTATAGAGTTTTCCTCTGCAGAGTGGTCCTGCTGCAGGGAAACCCTGGTGTCTTTGGCCATTCATCTGTGTTCCTTGAGTAAACCCTGGTGTCTTTGGCCATTCATTCATCTGTGTTCCTTGAGTACTGGCGGTCACAGCTCTTATCTACAGACCTCCATTATGGAAGACTTACCCCTGACAGAGTTTGAAAGCTGAGTGCCACTTCCTAGTGTGCTGAAGAATTCAGGCCTTGAGTACTCAGGAAGAATCCATTTCAACACCACAATGATGTTCAGCTTAAAAAAATTAAAGTTTAAAATAAATTGCACTTTGGATTTTGAAACATTTTTTCTTTTTTTTTCTTTTTTTTTTTTTTTTTGTTTTTTTGAGACAGGGTTTCTCTGTGTAGCTTTTGGAGCCTATCCTGGCACTCGCTCTGGAGACCAGGCTGGCCTCAAACTCACAGAGATCCGCCTGCCTCTGCCTCCCGAGTGCTGGGATTAAAGGCGTGCGTCACCAACGCCCAGCTGAAACAGTTTTTCTTAATGAATGAACTGAAAAAAAAAAAAAACCAGAAAGGAACAGACAAAACAAATGATAAAAATAAATCTAAGTGTGATTAAAGAGTTGAAATAATCACATAAGATTAAAACCCACACTAGCATACCCACCCAGAAAGCTCTGATCTCCTCTCCCTTTCAGCTATTTGACTGTGAGATGGGCAAACAGACTGGCCTCTGACCCACCTGCCCTTCGCTTAGCTTTCACCTTTGCTAATATGCTCAGAGTTAATGGAAGGGTGAATAAAACTACTTCCAAGGGTGTGGCATTTACTCTTGTATGTGTGCCCCGTCTGCTTGCATGAGCACACAGTGTGTGTGTGCATATGAGAAAGAAAGACAGAATGGAAAGAGAATCTAAGAAAACAAGTGTCAAAGCCAGGTGTGGCAGTGGCACTTGTCATCCCATCATTGGGGATGAATCAGAAATGGCTGAATCTCTGTGTTTGCTGGCCAATCAAATCAGAGAGCTGTAGGGTGTGAGAGACATTGTCTCAAAAAAAAAAAAAAAAAGGGGGACAGCATCTGAGGAACAACACCTGAGGCTGTCCTCTAACTTCCACATTCATAGGCCCCCCACACTAACACACAAATATACACACTGACACGCACCAACATACACTAACACATATACTGATACACCAACACACACTAATACAGTAACACCCACTGATACACACGCTAACACACTGATACACATATTGAGACATACCAACATACATGAACACACACACTAACACATACACTGATACACTGACATACTAAAACACACAATAACACCCCTAACATGCACTGACAAACATGATAGCACGCGAACACACATACTAACATGATACGCATGTTTACACGGAATAACAAATACTATCAAACACACTGACACACATAAGCATATACACATACACATACACTGACATACACACACAAAAGAAAATATATGTTCTATGAGTTCATGAGTTCCAGTGACATCTTTAGAAACAAGTTTGTCAAATGGCATTTTTGCATACATTTTACATCTGGGTGAGTTCTTTCTTGATATTCATACCCTTAAGAAAAAGTTTTACTGGTTGCCAATTCTGAACATCTCAGACTCTAGTCCTTAAGTGTCTCTAGGTGCTTCTTTCTCAGAGGGCTCAGGGTCATTACCTTTCCCTGGGACGGCATGACAGGGCAGAGAAAGTCAACCTCGGGAGAGTGAGAGCTGGTACAGGCTGGGGTTGGGCAAGCAGACAGGTGTTGAGCACTTCTCCCATCCTCACCCCATGTCAGGACTGGTCCAATCCCTTGTGCCTGTTTTTTCTTTCTCCTACACTATGGCTGGAAGTAAGACTCCCAAGCAAGACTCCTGCCATTTTCTTTCTCTACTTTTCTACCTCAGGAGTAGGCAGCCTCTCTCAGCACCTCGGGGAGGTGAGAGGGGGAGGCCTGGGCTTGGAGATGGCCTGTTTTCTGGAGAGCAGGCTCCTGGCTGCATTGTTCCACTTTCTTTTTGAAAAAGAAAGCTTTTGACGATCCTTTTCAGTCATTTGAAAATTGCATTTTGATTAATGTTCTGGTTTTCAACTTGATTATTCTGAATTTTTGATTTTATGGCACAATTGCTGAGCAAATAAAATCCTTATTGGTTCTGGGAGACTTAACTCAGATGGGATACGTTGGGTCTTGTTCAGTGAACCTCACACAGCTTATTCTGTCTGACTCCCACACAAGCACAGCTAGTGTCACAAACTAGCCCCACACAAGCACAGCTAGTGTCACAAACTAGCCCCACACAAGCACAGCTAGGGTCCCAAGCTAACCTCTTGGTTGTGGTGGGCGTGCTCACACCTCTTCCCAGCCTACTTTGAAGCAAGCCTCTGCCGTCAGAGAGTGGAGATGAGAAACTTTATTCTGAGTTCACATCTTTGTTTTCGCAGGTAAAATCAGCCATCTGCATTGGGAGGCTCATGGGACACTGATGGACGGTACTGCCATTGACCTCTGAAGGAGACTTTTCCAGGTTCCCAAGCACGTAGCTGATGATCACCCTCAAGGGCAGACGTCAGGGAGCAAAGTGTGCGGAGGACTTTGCACATGAAGAGAACTATGAGGGATCACGTGTTCCTCTGTGAGGGTGCCTGCACTTTCTGAATCTCAGAGCCTTGTCCTGATGTCTAGTGTTTGTGACCTTCTTTGTCCCTTGAACTTTCCCACCTTTCCCATGTATCTCCCATGACATGATCCCGGCCCTGAGTTTATACCTAACTGTTGTTATTTCCCACTTTCTTCTTTTCTGCGCTGTATGATGAATTCATTGACATATTGTTAAAAAGTCCTACTCCTGCCCCCAATCAGGCCAGATTCTAAAATACCCTATGGCAACTTCTCCTTTCTCACAGTCAAAGGAGGGTCACCGAGGCAGTGGCTTTCTCTCGGGTTCACCATGACTCCTGCTGAAGGGGTCACCCGCTGTTACCAGTGTGACAAGTTACCCAGAAGAAGCCCTTGAGAGGCGTTCTTGCTCCTTTTGTTTCACTGGCTGTTCCCCTCCCCTACTCTCTATTTCCCCATTGAAAATAGCAAATGGATATTACAGGGAAGTGGAAGGCATAAACGTATGGAAACAATCTCCCACTCCCTCGAGTAACATGCTTTTCTGTGTTTGCTCAAGTCTGGCTTTTTCCATGCATGGTACACTCCACTTTTAAAAAAATCTTACAAAATGTCATCATCGGCATATACAGTTTTGTATAGGGCTTTTCATCAACTATTTCATCAAAGATGTTGTCTTCACAGTCTTCACAAGCATTATCAGTAATTCATTAATATTCAAACCTCTAGCAATTTCCATAATGTAGGTCATTGGTAGCTGACCCCACCTGGCCATCAAAATGGACATCTCTGAGTCTTCTTTCTGCATTAAGAACATCAAGAAATCTCCTATCCATAGGTCATTGGTAGCTGACCCCACCTGGCCATCAAAATGGACATCTCTGAGCTCGAGTCTTCTTTCTGCATTAAGAACATCAAGAAATCTCCTATCCAGGCACTAGATTCTTTGGAGTATCTGTTGCTTACCAAACCACTTACAAGGCTTTTTCTCACCAGTGTATAGCAAAATAGGAATTACTGACTTACACATAAAGCATAAGATACGTGGATCTCTCTGTATTAAGACATGATATTATATTTAACCCTTACTTTAGGAGAAGCCAGTGTTCTTGTTTAGGCATTGTGGAGTATTCGGGCACCGGTACAGACTTCCGGTGGTTATCTCGGTGAGCACTCCACTCCTAGCTGTCTTGAACTGGTGGTATCTGTGCTAAACGATGTGCTAGGGTAACATAAGGCGCTTTAGCACTTGTAATTAGCTTTTCAGCTTTTTCATAGACTGTTCACTCAGCCACTGAAGGAGGGACCCTCAGCAGGAAGCCATTAAATGGATATTTAGATAGACTGAAGCATTAACCCAGATAGATGTATTTATTTTTATTTTGGTCTGGCTGGCTATTCATGCCCTGCATAATGCTAGCAGAGACTGGAGGAATAAAGGATGCCTGTTACTTAAACCCACCCTGGCCTCACAGAGCTCTATCACTCATCAGAATTTCAGAAGCAGAGAGTAGATGGGACAAATTTGCATAATGAGAATGGCCAATGGATGGAGGGAGAGCATTCCACTTCCATTTCGCCCTGATGATCAAGTGCTTGCTGTGGCTGACAGCATCGGGAGGAAGGTTCATCTTCCCCTTAGGGATTTTTCAAAAACTAAAATCTGTGACAGCACACAGACTGTGTGGACAGAAGTCCCAGGCCCTTGCCTTCAACTCAAGTAAGGAACCTGAATAAAAGAAGTAATGAAATTTAAAATTCCATGTAAGACCAAGTTAGCCTAGTCTACCTGCTCATCCCCACTTAATGAACGTGTCCATGTGTTCATAGTTCATGCTGTGTCTCAACTGGCTTAAGAAAACAGTCTTTGCACACACTATGCTCCTGTTGGCCCTAAAGAGGAATTAGACAATGCTCAGAGTTTTTTCTCATTCAGTGTGGAACAATTGAGCTTTCCAAGGGGTCTCTCCACATGGTTACTCTGCAGGTTACTCTCATGTGGCATCATTGTTCCTACTGTATCTCATGGATATCACATGTGTTGGCTATTTGTCAAATCAAAGGTGCTAGCTACATCCTTCGGTCTGGTACTAACCATCTGTAGACTTGTGCACAAACTCCAGAGAATCCTGCAATGTGGCTTCAACCTGTGTGTGAGAGCATTAAACCATGTTGGAATTCTCCTGACTATGTGTGTGTCATTCTAGTGAGAGTAAAAAATAAAAGTCATTCACCGGGTTATGGTCATTCCTAGGGGGATTTGGTTCGGAGTTTCCTGGTGGATAACTGGACTACTCTGGTTGCAAGCAGAAGGAAGTGTGCTGTGGCTGTACTCTGCATATCACATTTAGATTCTGTGGTCCACTGTTCAGTAAGCGTATTAACTACTTTTCTGTGATAAGCCACCATGATCAAAAGCAACTTGTAGACGAGTTTATTTGGGTCTATAGTTTTAGAGGAATAAGAATCCATCTTGGTGGCAGGCAGTGGGCAGCAGGCATGGTGACAAGAGCAGAAAGCAGAGAGCTCACATCTCGAACCATGCACACAAATCAGAGAGAGCTGGCTAGAAGTGGCAAGGAAATTTTAATGCCAAGACTGGCCTGTACTTTCTCCATAAGAACCACACCTCCTGAACCAAGCCAAACAGCATCACCAGCTGGGGATCAACTTTCAAAACCACCACAGTAGATTTGCTTAGGCACCTGAAAACGGGGTATTAATGAGTTCACTAGACCCAAGATAAATCATAAATGGGTGTGTTATTGAGGAACAACTTACAAAGAAAAATAGTAAAGAACGGCTGCGGCATTCCTGCTCCAGAAGATGCGGTCTCTGCCCTTCTGATGCAATCCGAGACCCAAGAGAGAGACAGAGCCCATATGAAGCCACGCCCAAGGGGGTGTGGCCACTAACGAAAATTTACTGGCAAGGCAAGATGCTACTCCAGGCACCCATCTGTATCCTAAGGGTCTCCAGCTTCATCGACCCAGAGGTACCTCATTGTGTTAACCATGTTTTATGAGGATACAGGAGTTTAAATGTAGGCTTGTCAGTAGGCTGGCAGATTACCCAGGGCTAACATGGAGTCTTTCATCCACAATAGAGCCACCTGTGCCCAGTATGGGACTAGCGTTGCTTGATATAGTTGTGTCCCTGTTCCTGAGTCTTTCTGCTCCAAAGGCACAGATTTTTTTCCAGGAAGAATCAAGGAAATGCGTCTTTGCCCACCTGCTTCTTTGTGGTCCACAGGAGACTGAGCATGTGGTTGTCATGGAGATGGTTGCTACCTACAGCCTCTCTTAAAAACAAGCTGCTCAGAAGTCAGGCCCTTGGTCTGTGCTGGAACTGGGCATCCTTCTTTACTCTCTGCTCCGAGCATGGGGACATGGCCCTTTATTCTCTTGAAGACAAAAATTTCAGTGATTGGTGGCCTACCCCATTTTTCTGAGAAGACACCTCTGAAGTTCAGCTTGGCCCAGCTGGACTGTGCACAGAACATAGTGCATTTGATTAGTTTGCATTTTTCCCCACAGTAGTCTTGTTTATCAAGTTCCCCCCACTCCTCATACATGGATGTGTTGTTAAATGTCTCCTGTGAACACTTCATTGGGAAGAAAGTGACTTAAAATAATTGGGAGAAATTATTGGCAGGCTCTGCATTCTACCATTTTATAATCTTCTCAGGTGGAAGGAGTGAATCTAAGAGAGTCAACACCACCAAAAGATGGAATACTAACTTAATGTAGGGGTGGGTTCGAACCCAGAGGAACCCAGAATGAGGGTGGGAGGATGGAGAGCTCTCTCAGGGTGTACCCTGGCTGTAGCAATGAGATTGGCTTCCTCTGAACTCCCCTCAAGAAGAGCATCTGGTGTTTTCCGTGTAGAAATGCCTCAAGAAACAGAAGGGGGTGGGGACAGGGTGTGTGGTGGATGCTGGGTAGTGACTTCTAGGCACTAGACAGTGGGGAGCATTTGGCGTCACTGTGGAATATTGTGAATGCAGGGAGAGGAGAGAGCAGCTGGAAAGGAATAAGAGGAAGGAGTTGAGGGGAGTATGTTTAGGACTCCTCAAATTTGTGTGGCAGTGCAAATATTTTTTAAAGATGTATTCAGATCTGGGTTGACTGAAAACTCAGGTTAGAACACTTGTCCAATATCCTTAAGGTCCCGGGTTTGACCCCTAGCACTGCAGTCATATATTCATACACTCAGGACACACATAATATAAAATAATCAGATCAGGAGGTCACACAGAAACTTCTAGAACATGGGACACATTATGCCAGGCTTCGAGGGTCTGTGTCTCCATCATGTTGAGAGACATATTCCTGGGATTCGGGGTGGAACCTCCCTTCTCCTTTCTCCAGCCCTCAGTGGCTCCTCACTGTCCTGCCCTGTGTCCTCATACAGAGTGTTGGGGGACTCAGTAGCCCTGCCTTATCTTTGTAGGCTCGTTGTGTGACAACTCATGGCTATCTCATGCCAAGGCAGCTGTCTGAGTATAAATGTCATGTAGTGGCCCAAGAGCCCTCTCCCCCTGTGCTTAGCAGCATGTCTTCCCAGCAGGAACTGACCACTGGCTGCCCAAGCACCCCATCCCCCAGGGAGAAGATCAAACTACTAGTGTTGAGCTTATTGCTCTTCGATATTTTTCACGTCCTATGTTTCACACCTTGGTGGATCTTGTGGAAGAAACTGTAGACATTCTCTTAGTGATGATGGGACAAGTTGCCTTCACTGTGAGCTTCTGTGCTTGAGGAGACCGTGAAAATGTTATGTCTTGATTCGCTTGTCTGTAGAATGGCCTCCTTCCCTCAGAGGGATGAGAGCATTTGATGGGTTACTAGGAGGTTCTGGGGTCTTGGCATGGCACTTTGTCATTGCTCCTGTCAGCAGTCCTTACTGCCACCTTCTCTGATATTCCTCTTACCTAAAGTCTCTTCACTCTTTTTCCCTGTGGTAAACTCTCATGCTTCTGTCAGAGCCCAACTTGAAAGTCACTGCCTCCGGACAGCCTACCTTGAGAACCTCTGCTCCCTGAGCAGCCTCTGGCATTTCTGTCCTGTGGAGCCTCCGTGACTCCTTCACTCAGGTATACCTGTGGGTCACTCATGTTAGATGAAAACTTCAGCGCCTCTGACAGACCTATAACCTATTCCTTATCTGCCATCCTCTGTTCAGAATGGCCCCTGGTGGGGCTGTGGAGTTCTTGAGGGAGATACATTCCAGCTGGTTTATTTCATTCATTCTGTATGGACACTGCAGGTGCCCACTGAGGGCTGTGTGGTTGAATGGCACCATTCTTCACCATGTCCTGAAGTGCCCTCCAGGTTCTTGTTCTTTCTCTTTTCTTGCCTGGTTGAAACATTTCTCAGCCCTAGTTAAGCATACCTATTTCCTCATGTTCCTACCCCACCAATTTTTCCTCACACAAGGATGGAAGCCCGTCTATGGATTTGATGATAACCTTGGCAACCTGTCTGTAAGGTACTGCGGTCACTGTGGAGAAGCTGTGGCAGGATTCTCTAGAGCCAGGGAAAGGTGTCTGTAGAATGGTATTTATGAGGAGGCTAGGAAGTCCCACAATCCACTATATTTGGTGATTTGTAGTTTCACTCCAAGTCTTGTCTTATAAACCAGGGCTGAGAGAGCTCAAGTCCCAGTCCAGGGGCCAGGAAAGGTCTATAGTGCAGCTCACTAGTCAAAGAGGGGGTGCAACCTTTCTCCCCATTCCTGGTATGAATGAGTCTTCTGAGGATAGACAAAACCTTCCACCCTAGGAAAGGAAATGTCTCTACTGATTACAGAAATGTGTATACTAATCCTA